CACGTCCTTACAGTTCCGCCCTCAACGCCATGGACGATACTGTTAACTAATGTTGACCCACTATGTTTGAACCTTTCTGCCTTCGAGACAACGATGGTGCAATGTTGCCACGGCACGTGTGATTTTGTTAAAATGACTACACGTATCCTGTTTTGAATATAGACGCTGTAACTCGCCGATAACAGCATACTAGTGAAGGAAGTGTCTTGAAACCAAAGACGAGGCCGAGATTTTGTTGAGCGTAGATTCTTCCCGGAGGCGCTCCTCAGTGTTTTATTCTCCGTCGCATCTACGGTTTCCCTGCCATGTGTAACCATGGCATTAGAAACTGCCTTAGACCACTAAACAACATCGCTCGCAATGACGTACGAAACACTATTTGGGGGCTGCAAGTAACGTGACTATCTCGCACTTTTCGAGATCTCGTCGGCCATTTGCTATACAATATATTATATTCTTTTCACGATCAATTACTATATGTATGCACGTGGAACATAAATCATGGTGGATAACTTTGTTTTTATTTTTGTTCGCAGTCCTACAATTTACAATGATATGACAATTAATACTACAGGATTATATCTATTCGATAGTGGTGCACAGTACATGTAAGTATGAATAAATTTTCTCTGATTCCCATGGATCAGAAACGAAATTGATCGACAATGTGCGTGTATAGAGGCAGTATTCAGTTATGCTAATTTTGAATTCCATCGTTTTGAATTTTTCTTTATAGTGACGGAGCAACTGATATGTCAAGAACGTTGCATTTTGGAACACCAAGTAAAAACGAAACGGTAGGATATCTACGGCATGTTTTTTTTTTTTAACTTTGGATCATTTTTTCTCGAGCACCATGTTCACTTTTACTAAGAGTGTAAATTTTTGTTACTAGAAAGGTGTGGTTAATGTCCGTGATCATATCGTTATTAATATTACAACAAACAGAAATCTATGTTGATGCTATATTCTGGCTGAAGCATATCCCAGAGTTAAAATATCATTTTATCATTTCATTATCATCAAATGATGAAAGGTACATCATTTGGTCGGCCTTATCCATTTATAATCAGTAGTTTTGTTCTCAACACTGTCAGAAAGTGTTAGTGTAACTTGATGGTGTAGTTTGAAAAACAAAACAAAACAAACAAACAAAAAAACAAGTAGCTCGGACACGAAGCTTACTATTCACAGTACATATATCTTAACTTTTTATGATAATATTTACACGTGTGTGTTTAAATTGTAGGATGCATACACCACTGTTTTAAGAGCACTTATCCGTTTGGCAGTGACAGTCTTCCCGAAAGGAATGTACGGTAAGCCTCTATGTATGAATATTTGTCGCATCATATCAGTCAGGCTCTTTACATATGTAAAACGACCCGAAGTTCTGGTTTAATTATTCTGACTGATTACCGAATTGATAGCGGAGGACAGAGGACAGTTTTAATCGCACAGATTCGCTATACACCGGTGACTTGTCCGTGTGTCCAACGCGCAGCGAGAGTTAAAAAGCAATGTCACAAAACACACACCTACCATCCCCTTTTTAATTCACTTTCTCTGAATAAAAATAATCCTTTTCAACACGTAATCCACTTTTCTTTGTATTATTAGTTCTTATAGTTGCCTTATTCTATGCCCACTATCTTTTAAAAACTGCCACTGATTTCTTTCGGGGCTGCATGTCTTTTGTCTTTCTGGACTTTTCCATATTTCTGTTCTATCCTTGCCCGTTTCCTGGTAGGTTACGCGTGCGCAAATAAAATTACATCGCGTCTGTCGGTAATTCGAGAATTATAGTGTCGCATTCGTCCTGTGGCGCGAACAACTGGTGGTATGTGTGATTGTTAACTATGAAAGTGCTACAGAACATCAAATTTTGCGGGGGTTTTGTATTATGTGGTATTTTTGCCCGAGCACGTCACAATTATCCACCATTTTGTCATCCTTGTTCGTAGTTTAGTTTCGAATGTAGCGAAAATAATCCCCAAGCATCTGCTACGTCAGTGTTTATATGTAAACGTTCGATTTATAGTACCGTGTGGAGTGTGGTCACTTTGTTAAAATTCATGTAAACACGAGCTCCGTACGCGAACGAGCCTGCTGTGTCGTTTGTTGCTATAACAATATGTGGAAGAACTAGATTAATGTTCCAAGTATGAGGGTTTAATTATTGGTTGACATGTTTGTTATAAATACATGTAGGTGTATAATTTCCACACACAATTATACTAGAATTAATAATATACTGCATAATAATATGTTATAAGTTATTTTAATTATTAAATGGATGCGAACAATTTGGTACATTTTTTTCAAAAGTGTCACATGATTATTGATTTTGAAATTGTGGTATTGTTTTTTATTTTGTACAAATTTTGTATTTTTCAGGTTAAAACGTGTTAAAATGCAACAATAAAGAAATATTTCATAAACAATAATTATTATAATATATACATATTATAAAAATTACCTAATAGTTCGTAGGAAACAGGTGTCTGATTTTATAACTACTTACGATTTGAACAGAGGTGAAAAGAAAGGAAACAGAGCACATTTGTGAAATAATATGATACCTTTTTAAAATATGACTAAAAGTTAATGTCAGTGATTGGAATAGTATGACATTACTTGTACAGTAGACTACACGTTCAGTTTTATACTGAATAATGTTACATTAATGCATTCCAAATGATGTATTGTTTACTGCTTCTGTACGTCACAGCAACAGTATTGAACTAAAGGGTGTATATTCTATTAATATTTACAGGCGGAGAGTTAGACTTTCTAACTCGAACGCCCTTATGGAAAGCTGGGATGACGTATCCACATGCCACTGGTCATGGACTTGGTGCTTTTGTTGCACATGAAGGTAAAAAACAAACTTTAGAGACGTTGAACCCCGCATTATCCTCTTTTCCTAGAGTCATTCAATTCCGGAGTATATAGTTTATTTTACACTGCCATATTCGTCATGCAGTTCATTTTATATTTTTTTTGGAAATAACAATGAATTTAACGTGAATAACCATGGGGCTGAACAGCGCCAACATGAGACGTACAAATACAAACAAGTACAAATACGAGCAATAAGTGTTTTCCTCCCCCCAACCCACAAGAAACGCATTCGCTACCAATAATTCTCAATCAGACAAGCTCATATCCATTGGAGAATAAATGATTTTCGTCCATTATTGCGTGTTATAAATCACCACTACCATAATTAGAGTTGTTATGACGTCATAGTTCACATTTTCACACAATCCTCTATTCGCTAGGAAATTCATTTAAACCAAAAAAACAAACAATTATTAATAAATTTGTTCAATTTTGATGGCAGTGGTTTTAACAACAATAATGATCCCCTGCAGTGTCATATTGGATTCGAAGATGGATGTAGACGCGATAATATGTTTTGCCTCTCACATTATTTGGTATACTTGTTCTCTTCATCCAATATGGGGATTCACTATTGTTTAAATAAAAAAGAAAAGATGAAAACCAAGTTGCCACACAATAATGGCCTGTGCGGAGTCTTTTATTTCAATTATAATACCCAGAATGTCAAAAATTATATATACGAGGATATTTCAGTTTCGCGTAGAACGTTTACCAGCGATCGCAAATTTCTAGTCCGGGGAATAAATAGCAGTTCTTAACGTAATACCAAGAATCAAAACCCTTGTTTCACCTGTTTACATCGCTAGATGGCGCGACTTACTGGAAAGGTCACAATGTGTCGATTTTATTGCATATATCGTAGATATATCATACATTTAACACATTAATTGCAATTTTACATTTATTACAGATCCTATACGCCTGGAAAAGAGAAATGGCATATCTTCTGTTGACGAAATACCAATACAAACTAATATGTACATTTCAAACGGTAAGACATATCATTAACATATCGTTAGAATATCATTAACATATCCATTCATTAGCATATCATCAGTACGAATCCATGTGGTTGAACGTCTGGCGAACCACCATACATATACTATTATGTACATTTCGGATGGCGAGGCGAGACATATAATTAAGATGTCATTAGCATATCATTAACATATCACTCTCATTTGCATATCCTCAACATATCCATCTCATTAGCACATCATCAGTACGATTTTTTGTGGTTGAATGTGTGGCGAGCCAACATACATACACTATTATGTACAAATTGCAAATGGCGAGACATATAATTAAGATACCATTAGCATATTTTAAAAATATCCATCTGTTTAGCATATTAGTAATATGTTAATATCATAGCATATCATTAACACGAATCCTGGTTTTTGAAAGTGTGCTCCCCGAACATTT